CAGACATTTGCTGCTGATGAGATCTGAGGAGCTCCCGGTATCTATGAGGATTCGGCCAACTCTCTGGTTGGCCACTTTACATTCAATAACGAGAGGGTCGTCATGCGGCCCCCTTACCCCTCCTAGATCCTCTTCAGTGATGACAATCTCAGGAAATGTATATTTGGACGGTCGTCCTTGGTGAACGGAATTTACATCTAACCGCCTTATATTATCTTTGTTGCCCCTAATAGTGGGGCCGCCTCCTGAGAAGCCGCCTGCAATGGTGTAGACGACTGCATCATCTGTATCGGAGCTGTCGGCCTGTTGATTCTTTTTGGCCGATAGCTTTCTTGAGGAAGTGAGCAAGCGTCCTGAAGCTGTTTACACAACCAGTCGGCAGGTTGCCGAACCATTGCTGTGCGATTCCCTTGAGAGTCGCTGGGAAACACTTGCACCAAGTGGGATCATCCAACCCTTGAAGGTACATCAGGTTGGTGAATGCCATCAGATGGTCTTCTGGGTTAGTAGTGCCGTCATAGGCGCCTACTAGTACATTTTTTACTTTGGTCGACGGCTGTTCACCAAGTCTAAGCAACCGTAGCTGCCAGTCCATAGGTTGGACGTTTTTTGCTGCAGGTCCACCAAATGGAGGTGGCTGCATAAAATACTGTTGTTGCGGCACAAATGGTAAGTTTGGTACCGCCTGGGCACTATGAAAGCCGGACTGACGGGAGGTGCCGCCTGACTGACTCTCATGGTACGACTGAGTATGCCTCATCGAGGCATTTCGCAAACTGTCTTGAAATTCTGAAGTAGAAGCCGACTCTGACAATCGGTCACTCTTCTTCTGCTCTAGCAGTAGCCGAGCATCTGTGAATGTTTGCTTTGACCTGTCCGCCTGAATATGACGAACCGGTTTCCTATTTCCTGTAGGATAACGGAATTTTGTGAAATCAAGGGCAGGTGGCTCCCGCTTCCTAGATTTAGGATGAGGAGTCGCCTCTCGCCCTTGAACTGGCTTCCTCTTTAGTGAAGTGGAAGGTTTCTTGGCCGACTGCTCCTTGACTGAAGCAGGCGGCTTCTTGTTGATCAACTCTTGAATCTCTCCCTTGAAGTCCCTCATGAAGGTCATGAGTTCGTTCCTTGTGATGGGAGCAGACCCATCAGTCGGCTGTTGCCGAGCAGGCGGTGCGCCTGCTGGCTCGCTTCCTGTTTGAAGATGCTCCCGTTCCCTCCTTTCGGTATGACGGGTACGTCGGGCCCTTAGGGTCCCGTCTGGAGCTGTATGAGTTTCAACTTCAAATTCACTTTCGGTGTCATGGTCCGACTGAACTTGAGGGTCGTTTAGGGGACGCCTTTCTTCAGGAGTCGGTACAGACTTGGATGCCATCTCTGAAGTACTCTCCCCACAGACGGCGCCAAATGTTTCGGGGTTTTCTGATGTCCTGCGGGAGAGTTACAATTCCGAGACTGGAACCGGACGCCTGTACCTGCAAAATAACGGAGACTCCTGAGAGCTCCGCCTCCAACGGTCAAGTTAGTACCTGATTAAGGAGTAATTAATGCGGAAATTAAAGTAATAAGGTCTCTCTAGGTGAGAGAGTTTAATGTTGGTAATCTGCTTTGTTAGCGAGATCAGCCGGTTATTAGTGTGTTCCGTAACGTTTCTGTTCTGTTCCGTTCTTCTGGTAAGATTAATTGCTTGATCCCCTTTAATGAGGATTAATTAAGTATTTATAGTCTTGAGAAGCGTGCCACTCTCTAGGTTTAGGGTAAACCTAGGGCTGACCGGGCCTCTAAACAGGATTGGGCCTTGTTGGCCGGTTTTCCCATTTGGCATGGGTGGACACGTGGCGTGTCTCAATTGGTCCGTAGAGGACGTATCTGTGATTGACACGTGGCAGGCTCCTATTGGCCTACGTGAAGGACACGTGGCGGAACCTGGTTGGTCCACTTGTCAGACGGTGATTGGTGGATAAAAATCCCCTAATCAATCACCATATTGCATGTTTAAAGGGAATATGTAACTGAAAATCACGCCTAATAAGATAATTTGGACAACCGATTTAGGTCCCTTTTTAATCTTGTTGTTTAATCAAGTGATCACGATATTTTAGAATTATATGTTGCATTGATTCAACCAATTTAGTTTATTAATAGTTTGGAGCAAATTGAATCTTTGTTTGCATGCCTTTGAGATTGTAGGAATCACTTTTCACTATAAGAATCGAGTAGAGGCCAATACGGGCGAATGTGAATCCATGACTCACTTTGTACCATCATCCCCGATCCTCCTTTTGTGGTTACGAACCATATGGAGTTAGTAATCTCATGGATTATGAATGGGGTGTAACTTTCACGGGTTAATCGTTGTTGCCTTTCGTTGTCCCTTAATCGTGGTTGCCCTTTTTTTTTTTATAATCCGTGAACGGTTTACAAGTTCCTTAAAAACTTGTTGGCGGCTCCCTACTTTCCTTGTCCCTAATCGTATATGTCAATTCCCACTTCCTATTGATGAGCGTCATTTATGGCACTCATTTGGCCTCTTTTAGGATGATATTCATGCTATTTTATAGCCCTTTTCCTTAGTTTATCCTTAGTTTTGTTCTGTATTTTGTTAGTTTGTGCTTTCCGTAGTTTTTTTTTTTTTGGAAAATAAGATTTTATTACCAAAGAGAGAAATTTACAACTTACAAAATCTAAGTTATAACTACCACCAGAACACCAAAAGACCTGAAAACAATAGGCCAACCCCACAACCAGTTCTAGATCCAAACCTAGCCACCTTCTAGGAAGGGTTCTAGGAAGGACCTAGAACAACTGGACTCAGATTTCCGGCCACCTTCTAGGAAGGGTTCCGGAAACCAGGACCAGACAACAAACAACCAGAAAAACAACAAAACCAAACACCCAAAAGACACCAAAACCAACAGTCAGTAGCAGACAAGCCTGCAAACAGACAAGAAAACTAATACAACAAAAAGACAGCAAAAAAAGAACCAAAGCTAGCCTCAACTGCAGAAAATAAAGCACAAAACAGCAGCAAAAAACAGCAAGGCAGACAACAGAGCAGCAGAGGCACAGAACAGCAATAAGCATTGCAGACCAGCAACAACATCAAGCAGCAAGCAACAGCAACCAGCAGCAGATTGCAGCAGCCAGCAAACAGCACAGCAGGAAGCATTGCAGGAGATTGCATTTCTTTGTGTATTTGTTCTTTTTTCCCTTTTTCTTGTTTGTTTTCGTTTGTTTTTAGGTTATGATCATGTTTCCAAGGATTCCCGAGCCTTCCTCTCATATTTCTCATCAATTTGGATGCCTCATGTTCGCCTTTTGGAACTTCAAGTTTGAAGGAACGCAAAGAGCAAGTCAAGAGATCGGTGCACGTATGCGGTGGGGGCGTCATCTTTGCCATGAACCCACCAAAATGGCCCCTTCAAGACTGCCTACCTTGGTGTTCATCATCATCATAAAGACGAGCGCACGAGGAAGAGCTTGGACGAAGAAGAGGGGGGGCTCCCCTGTTGCCAGGTGCGGGCACGCACGAGGGTGGTGCGGCCGCGCAACTGGGTGGCGCGGGCGCGCCTAGTGCGGGTGCGGGCGCGCCTGCCAGGGCCCCTGTTCCGTACCTTTTTCCCGCGGCCGCGCCTCTCCTCTGATGCGACCGCGCCTTCCAGGGTTTCTTTTGGGACGATCTAACTAACACTTCTTTTGTATTTTTCCTATATATAGTTTTTCCTTCTATTTTAGGAGGGAGAGAATGAGAATAGAATTAGAATCAATTTTAGATAAAAAATTAGAGAGATTTTTAGAGAGAGAAACTCTGATTTTTAGAGAGAGAATTTCATGGTGGATTGTTGATGATTGAAGATTTCTCCATTTCCTTTGATTTTTGATCAAGTTTGTAAGGATTCCTTTTCTTTAACGTAGTCTTTAGTTTGATCTTTAGTTTGATTTAAATTGTTTGTTGAATGTTCAAGTTTGATTGAAGTTTGATTGATTTGTGTTTGAATTTAGCTTGTTTGATTTGATCATGATGAATTTGTTGCTTAGTGTTGCTTTGATTTTGATTTCAATGGCTAGTGACTAGATTGCTTGCTAGGGTAATGGTGAAGCATGTATGAGTAATGGATTAAAGTTAATTGGGGAAAATTGATGGAGTTGACTATGTGATTAAATTGGTTGATGATCATGTGCATGTGTGTGATTAATTAAAGAGTAGCTTACTTTGATTGTTGCACTAGATTGCATTGTAAGTTTGCATTGATACGGACCATTGATTTGTGGCTTGCATTTAACGATTGAGGTGTCTTGTGATGTTTCCTAGCTAGAGTTTATCGTAGTTGACGCTAGTTAGACCTCTAGGAGAATAGCTTGATATGCTCTTTTGGTTGCATGATTGATTTTCCCTCACATTGCTTAACTTAGTCAATTTGACCTCCTAATTAGTTGAATTCGTTATGATTACATGTGGAACCTAGCCCTAATGTTTATTATATTTGATTTGTTCTCGTTATTAGTCGTCTTTGTCCTAGCATAACATTCACACCCAATCATTACATTTCGGAATAGCTTGACCATAGACAATAGATGATAGCCCACCATTCCTTTGGGTTCGACCCTCAACTTACCATTATACTTGTGTAGGGGTGTGTTGAGTGTTTACGAATTTTGTTTGTCCTTGGGTAGGGGTTAGTTTCAACGACCTAGTCTCGACCCACGTCAAAAATGGCGCCGTTGCCGGGGAATGGTGTTGTGATTGTGTATTGTTGTTGAGTCTATTCCATCTTATTCAAAAATACAAAAAGATTTTTCTTCTTTCTTTTAGGCTACACTTGTAGCCGTGTTACTAACAATTTCTTTTGAGTTTTTGCATTCATAGTAGAACTCGTGTTAGGACCTTAGTTCCTTTGGATCCGGAAATAGAAAGAACTCTTTCACGAAGAAGGGTAGCCAACCGGTCTTTGAGCCTAAGTTCCTCTAGTGAAGAAGAATTTGAGGAAGAATAAGAGCAAGCCATGGGAGAGAATCCAAGAGTAGCTTTGAAGGAGTTGGGAATTCCTGGTGCTTATAGGTTTGAGAGTGGCATTGCTCCACCTATAACACCGGCAAACAATTTTGAAATTAGACCAGCCATGATTACTTTGATAGAAAGGAGGCAATTTAGTGGAGCCAAGAGTGAGAGCCCATTGAATCACCTAATGGAATTTGAGAAGTATTGTAATACTATCAAGGTGAACGACATTTCTCAAGAGTTAATTGAGCTAAAGTTGTTTCCCTTTTCTCTTATTGGTCGTGCCTTAAAGTGGTTGGATAAAGAAGTTAAGCCAAATTCCCTTAGGACGTGGGATGAAGTCACCAAAGCTTTCTTGTCTCACTTTTACCCACAAAAGAAGACGGCGGAGGCTAGAGCCTTGATCCAAGGATTCAAACAAAGGCCTAATGAGAATCTCTATGAAGCATGGGAGAGGTACAAGGAGTATCAAAGAGAGTGTCCACATCATGGAATTCCTACCTATCAAGTGATACAAATTTTCTATGGAGGCTTGAGTGCTCAAGGCAAGTCATGCCTAGATGGAGGAGCCGGAGGTCTTATAATGAATAGGACAGAAGAAGAGGTAGTTGACATAATTGAGGATGTGGTGAGATACTATAGAGATTGGCAAGAAGGAGAGAGGGAGTCTACGAGCAAGAGTGGCTCGACGGTTTATTCGGTGGATCATCTCAACGCGATTAACAACTTGTCCTCCTAAATTTCAAATCTAGGGAAGGAAGTGACGTCTATCAAAGCAAAGCTTGAGAGTGTTTCTACGAATTCATTGAGTCTTCCCTCCCAATCTAAAGGGAGAGGTACACTTTCTAACTCTTCTCCTTCTACTTCTAATTATATGCCAAGTGGTTGTCTATTTTGTGATTTTGTGGATCTTATGATCATGATTCTTCCATGTGTTCTCAAACTTTTGTTGATGGATGTGATGATGTTGAAATTAATGAATGTGAACATGTGAACTTTCAGTCTAAGTTTAATGGTGGTCAAAGGTTTGATGGACCTAAGAATTTTAGTAATAGGAATTCTCACCCCCAAGGTGGTTTCGATAACTACAACAATGGAGGCTATAGGAACCAAGGAAACCAAGGTTTTCGAGGTAACTATAACAACCAAGGCTATAGTAATCAAAACCCGAGCCATGGGTATGGTAACCAAAGTCAATCTTAAGGCTTTGGTAATCATTATCATAAAGGTGGCAATAATCAAGGCCGTGGCAATTGGAACAACAACCAAAATCGGGGAAGTTTTCAAAATAACAACCAAAGGGGACCCCCACCCGGTTTTGCTCCAAAGCCTCAAGGCAATGGTGAAAATTCTTATTCCCAACCATCATCATTTAAGACAAATTTGGAATAAATGATTGATAACCAAACCAAGATCATCAACACATACATGGCGGTGAGTGACAAGAAATTTAATGAGATGATGACTCATAACAAATTGCTTGAGACACAAATAACCCAAATAGCCAACACTCTAAAGGATTGTGCTAGTCCATCCTCTTTGCCTTCTTAAGGAGTGGAACCTAAGAAACCCGTTTATTCTATCACCACTAGGAGTGGGAGAGTTCTTAATGAGGGAACTTCTAGGTCCATTGAGGAGGATGAGGAGAGGAGTGACCCAAGAGTGGAATTTGAGAAGGTTGAGTCTAAGAGTGTGAGTTATGAGGAGGTGCAAGAGAAAAAAAGGAGTAGTGAGAAAGAGCGTGAGGAAGTGCGGAGACCCGACCTTCTATACCCACAAAAATTCTTGAGGCACAAAATTGATGAGCAATTTGGAAAGTTTATTGCTATGCTCAAGGAAGTTCACATTTCTATCCCCTTCACCGATGCAATTACCCAAATGCCTAGGTACTCTAAGTTCCATAAGGAGATTTTGAGTGGGAAGAGAATGTGTAATGAAGTTGATTCGGTTGAAGTTGGGAGTTGTTGTAGTGCTTTGATTCATAATGAGTTGCCCAAGAAGATGGAGGATCCGGGAAACTTCTCTATTCCATGTGAGATCAAAAGGAAAATGTTTAATAATGCTTTTTATGATCTTGGAGCTAGTGTGAGCGTCATGCCTTATTCTATTTTCAAGAAACTCGAGCTAGGTGAGCTACTCCCATCTAACATAACCCTTCAATTGGCCGATCGGACTATTATGATTCCAAAGGGGAGAGTTGAGGATGTTCCTCTTAAGATAGGAGGGTTCACTATTCCCGTTGATTTCATTGTGCTTGAGATTGTGGAAGATGACCATATCCATATCATTTTAGGAAGACCTTTCTTAGCCACTTCAAGAGCCTTAATAGATGTGAAAGGAGGCCGTATTACCTTGAGAATTGGTAAGAAAGAGGAAAGCTTTGAGTTGAAACCAATGCTTGAGTCTTTGTCTCTTTTGCAAGGAATTATGTGTGCTAATCCCCTCGCTCTATTTATAATCTATGCATGATTAATTCTTCAACTAACGATGTTCTTGATAATTGTGATGATGTTCTTTCAAGTTTTGATGGCAAGAAGGTTAGTGAAGAGAAAATGATGATTCTCAAGCTTACGGACGAGGAGGAAGTTGTAATCCCTCATTGGTTTGAGCTCTATCCTCAAGATGGAGAGGATGTTTCCATGAGTATGGATGGTGAGGAACCATCTACAATAAGCAACAAGCCAAAGAAGAAAGCTCGTGATTCTAAGAAGAAGAGAGAGAGAAAGAAGTTACAGAAAGAAAAATTTGCAATTGAAAAGTCTTTGAAAGAAGTTTCATCAAGCAACAACAAGAGGTTGCTAGAAGTTGAAAAAGAATTTGCTCTTTCCGCTACCTTGAAGAAGGTGGTGTTCTTTGACCCTCCATGATTTGGAGGAAGGGTCGAGCTTAGGACCATAAGCAAGCGCTTCCCGGGAGGCAACCCGAAGACTTCTAACTTTTCTTGATTTTTGAATTTCTCTTATTTTTTTCCTTCTTTTACTTTCTTTTCTTTCACTTTTCTACTTCATTAGATATGTAGATTGCATTTTTGGGATTGAATTTCATTAAGTGGCATGAAGAATGAGATGGTGTTTTGCGGTTTTTGATGTGATTATACTCGATTTTATCGAAATTTGAGGTAAAAGGGTAAGAATCTTGGTGAGGTAAGTTAAGGATTTTGTGCTTTAAAGTTGAAGGAAGTTTGCACTTGGTGGGTTTTTATGGTGGGTTCATGAAATTCTAGTTGGTGTTTATCATCATCATTATTCGTGTACCCACCAATGAACGCACCAAGAACTTAAAAAAAAGAGAGAGAGCTTGGCTAGGCTCAGGTGCGGGCGCGCACGCACTTGGTGCGGCCGCGTACCTGTCTGGTACGGGCGCGCATCTAGCTGGTGCGGGCGCGCATCAGCCCGTGCTTCCCTCTTTATCTTCCTTCCTTCCTTTATTCTTTCATTTCCCCTTATTCCTCCTTCATAGCTTCGACCCCCATCATCCTCAAACCCTCAAGACCGCACCGCTCACTTCAACAACTCATCAAAATTTCAACTCAAATCACTCAAATTTTCACTCCAAATTCACTAAAACCTTCTACATTTTCATCCAAATCATCAAATTCATACTACTTTCATCAAATTAAACCTCCAATATCTCTCATCCATACTTGGGTATAATTTGGGGTTTTTTTATTTAGTGGAAATTGGTGGTTAAAAGTGGTTCATTCTTGCTTCATATATGGTATAATCATCTTCTCTAGATTTTAATTGCTCAATTATGTCATATATTTGCAAGTTTTGATTTGTTCATGAGCATGAATAGTGGTAGTACTAACTTTGATGATTTTGATGATTGATATTGGTTTTTGGTTGATTATTGAGTTGTTTGTCGTTTGATTTTACCTCACATTATGTTGTTTGTTTATTTTGTAGCATTTGTGAGCATTTTTGTTGAGAATTTTGGAATTTGAATTTTGGTAGTTTAGGTAGTAAGGTGCTATTGTGGTATTGATGGTTCTTCTTGTGATTGTTGATTGTGTGAGAAGAAATTGTTGGTTGTTTGGTGTTGTTTGGTAATTTGGATTGGAATTGTGATTTGTGGATATTAAAGTTCTTGGTTGGAGATTTTGCGGATTGTTGTGGGAATTTTGTGATTGGTTTTTTGTGATCCTTGCACTTGAAGTTCATCATGTCGAGAGTCCTCAAAAACCTTGTTAAGAAACGCAAAACAAACACCTCCACTGATGAACCTACTCCAAGCACATCCACCTCCCAGACACGCAACCCTACTCCACCACCCAAAAGAAAATTCAACGATAAAAAACAAAAGACCCGATACCATAAATTAAAGGAAAACCGCTCCCTCAAACCCATAAGACACTACTTCCAATCCGACATGTCCGCATTGGGGATTGATGAGGATGTAAGGGAGTTGTTGATCAACCTTTGAATGGGCACATTCATCTCCCATAGTTACCGCACCTATGTTGAGCCCACTCTCGAGTTCTTTGCTTCGGTTGAGATAGTTCCTGTAGAAGGTCAATATAGGGTTCAATTCCAAGTTTTCAACAACTTCTTCGACCTCTCCATAGAGCAATTCAATACCGCTCTAGATTTTGATCCTCATGGTGACATCTTAGATCTAGAGCCTTATATTTTTGAGGAGTATGATCAGGATTCTTGGTGAAACGATATCTCCGGAGGTGGTGACTTTGTCACCAAGCGGGCCAAGATTAGCAATGTCTACCAAGCTTGTCTTTGGGTTGTTCACCGTCTTTTGGTCAGCGGCCGCTTGATAGGTTGGTCTGTATACACGACGACTGTATGTGCCAAAAAGTAGGGCTTCAATTTTTTAACAGCCATGAAGAGTGCAAGACCAAATTTCTCCACTAGGGGATACCTCAACTCGACATTTTTCAGTACGTGACTGACAAAGTAGACCGGGAGCTGACAGCCGTCCCTTTCAGTAAGGAGAACAGCGCTTAACGCATGATCAGAGACGGCCAGGTACATGTAGAGAACCTCTTTGGGCAAAGGGCTGACCAACCTCGGCAAGGAATGCAAGTGAACTTTTAATTTCTAGAAGGCGGCCTCAGCATCCGGCCCCCATTTAAACCTTGCCTTTTTCTTAATTGCCTGGAAAAAGTATAGGCATTTGTCGCCTGATCGGCTTAGAAATCTTCCCAAGGCCGCCAGACAACCTGTTAACTTCTGAACCTCTCGGATGGTACGAGGCGATTGCATGTCAATGACCGCCTGCACCTTCTCAGGGTTCGCCTCTATTCCTCTCTGATTGATAAGGAATCCGAGAAATTTCCCAGACTCAACTCCAAATACACATTTCTTGGGATTGAGCATGACATGGTGCCGCCTGAGTGTGGCGAAAGTTTCTCGGAGGTCCGACAGATGATCTTTCTGAAGTTTAGTCTTGACAATCATATCATCAATGTATGCCTCGACGTTTCTCCCAATCTGATCAAAGAACACAGTGTTTATCATTCGTTGGAAGGTAGCCGGGGCATTCTTAAGACCAAACGGCATGATCATGTAACAGTATAACCCCTGATCAGTGACGAAGGCCGTCTTCTCCTGATCTTTCTTCCATAAAGGAATGTGATGGAAACCAGAATAGGCGTCCATAAAACTCATCAAGGCATGGCCGGCTGTTGAGTCGACCAGGTTATCAATTTTAGGCAGAGGGTAACTGTCTTTGGGGCACGCCTTGTTTAAGTTTGTGTAGTCTACACACATTCGCCAGGTGCCATTCGGCTTTTTAACAAGCACCACATTTGCAACCCAGTCTGGGAAGTAACATTGCCGAATGAACCCTGCATCAAGTAATTTTTTAACTTCGGCGGCTGCCGCCTGACTTCTTTCTTCGCCATGGTTCCGCTTCTTTTGCCGTACCGGCTTCTTTTTCGGATCCACGGCCAGTTTATGTACCGCCAGATCAGGACTAATGCCTGGCATTTCATGGACTTCGAATGCAAAGATGTCCTTGTATTCTTTCAATAGGTTGTGAAAGTTGTCACCAAGGTTTCTCAGAGCAGTCGTCCCAACTTTGACTGTTCGGTCAGGACGTGAGTCGTCTAAGATCAGGTCCGCATGCTCACCAGCCGGCTGAGGGCGGAACTCATCCGGCCGCTCCTCTGCCAATGATTGCTATTTTCTTGCTTTTCTTGCGGCCCCTGTCTGGGATGCCTTTCTCTTTTTGCCTCCTGCTTCTTGAACAGGCGCACTCTCTTTGTCAAGGTCTGTTTTTTCACCGCTTGACCCAGTAGCCATAACAGTGGGCTTGACATCCGAGAGATAGCACTCTCGGGCCATCCTCTGATCTCCCCTTAGGGAGCCGACTGTTCCATTATCCCTCTCAAACTTGAGCAACATAAGAGATGGGATTATAACAGCCTTGGAATTATTCAGGGTAGGTCGACCCAGAATCATGTTGTAGGCCGAGAGTTCCTCTACTACCAGGAACCGGACTACCATGTGTCGTCCTTCCCCTTTTTCGCCCAGGCGGATGGGTAAATCTACTCGTCCTAGTGGGTGGACGACTCCTCCTCCAAACCCTACTAAAGGGTGGGAGGCCGGATGTATGCAATCAGTCTGATATTTTAGTTTCGACAGACATTTGCTACTGATGAGATCTGAGGAGCTTCCGGTATCTATGAGGATTCGGCCAACTCTCTGGTTGGCCACTTTACATTCAATAACGAGAGGGTCGTCATGCGGCCCCCTTACCCCTCCTAGATCTTCTTCAGTGATGACAATCTCAGGAAATGAATATTTGGACGACCGTTCTTGGTGAACGGAATTTACATCTAACCGCCTGATATTGTCTTTGTTGCCCCTAATAGTGGGGCCGCCTCCTGAGAAGCCGCATGCAATGGTGTAGACGACTGCATCATCTGTGTCGGAGCTGTCGGCCTGCTGATTCTTTTTGGCCGACTGCTTTTTTGAGGAAGTGTTCCCCGTAGATTTCTTGACATAAGTGTCAAGATCACCTTGCTCAGCCAGGCGGTCTAGGTACCGCATGAGACTGATGCAGTCATTGGTGTGATGACCAACATCATCATGATAAGGACAGAATTTTTCTTGGTTCCGGTTGTTTGCAGAACCCTTCATGGGGACCGGCTTCTCAATTGAGATCCGTCCCTTGATTTCTTTTAGGATAAACTGGTTATCCTTGTTAAACGCATACTTTGGGGAGTATGGTTTGAATTATTTTTTCTTTTTCTGGGCCGGCTGTTTAGAGGAATCAGCCGCCCAGACCTCTTTTCTTTTCTCATCTTTGTTTGACGACTGTTTCTGTCGTCCTTCTCTTTTGTCAAACCTTTTCACGTCCGACTGTTTTATCGTACAAAGATCAGTCGCCTGTATATAGGCTTCTGCTTCAATCAAGGCCTCTTGAAGAGTCGCCACCCTTTTTCGAACCAAATCAAATTTGAAGGTAGACCCGTCTTTGAGTCCTCTGAAAAAGTCAGTATAAGCTAC